ATTATTGTGGCATGGCACATTAGGATTATTAGGGCTATGCTGTTTGAATTTGCCAGTGTTTCTGGTTCAAAGGGGTGAGCCAGAGCCACACTAGGCACTTTTTTGGTTGTACAAAGCCATGGCCCCAAGTACAAAGGCCAAGAAAGAGGGAAAAAACAAAACTGAAAAAGAAGAAAAAGAGGAAAAAGACAAAAAAGAAACAGCACAAGAAGCCAAGAAAGAGGCCATTTCCTGAAGGCCAAGTATGATGTTCCTTCTACAACCACTGTTTTATTGCCTTTCAGCAAGGAAGAAAGAGTTTCAGCAACTACTTCTGCCACATGAGCTGTTCTCCTGGCTGTACCACAATAGGTGGGAACATTTCAAGGCTGCTTTCATGCCTGGTGGGCAGAAGCAATTGGTGGAATTTTGGAAGAGGTTTCACAACCATCCCTGTATGGATGGAAATACAACCATTGCTTCCAGGAGCAATTGGCAAAAGACTTCTTTGCCAATATCTCTTCATGGAAACGGTGTTCCAGTGACAGCTCTTGGCAAAGTGTGGGGGAAGTGCATGGAGGTGTATTCCTGGCAAGGATTGTTGGGCTCTGGAGGCACAAAAAACACTACTTTCATGATTTGGTGTGTGCCTTGTCTGAAGAGTGATGCCATTTCTTGTGGGTTGGATTTGTTTTCTTATGGGTGATGCATATTGTAGGATTATTTCTGCTTGTCTTGTAGGCTGTCTCTTGTAGGATTATTTTGAGAATGCAAGCATTAGGATTATTTCAGGAAAGCATCCCTAAATCTACCTCAGGCCTACCAGGCATTGTTCCAGCATGGTGAAGGTGGCCACTAGAAGCAGTGCAGAAGATCATGGCCTGGAGTTTCAAGGCTATGCTAGCAGGTACCTGGCCTGATAGAGACTGGAATGACAAGCTGTACCATCCAGATTCTGAGCTGGGATCCAAAGCCAACCAGCCATTGGCAGGGCAATTCTATGGCTGCTTGATTGCTATCAAAGGGGATTTGGAATTCTACAACCAATCTTTGGGCCTTCCCAGGTGGAGTGTCAACAAAGGGCCTTGTCTGTTCTGCAATGCGCAAGGAAAAGGCCCTTCCAATTGGAGAAATTTTCTACCAACAGCTCGGAAGGATACTCAATGGACCCCGGCTTCTTGGAGGGCATGGCCTGAACACAGCAAATGCCCATTGTTTCGGGTTCCAGGTATCGCTGCATTAAATGCAATGGTGGATTACATGCACACAAAGCATCTGGGGTGTGACCAGTATATGTTTGCTGGAGTGATATACATTCTGGTCCACCATGTAATGGAAGGGACACCAGCTCAAAACATGGAAGCAATGTTCCAGGAGATCAAGCAATTGTACAAACAATTTGGCATCAGAGATGTGTACTTTGGGCTGGGCAAGCTTGGGATGATTTGCAGGAAGAAAGGTGGCATGAAACTCAGGGGAAAAGCTGCTCAGGTCAAGGGTGTCACTGAATTGGCTGAAGTACCACAGCCCTGCACTCCAGCTGCACAGGAAAATTGCCCAGATGCTCAGGGCCAATTGCTTGATGGAGAAGATGATGGCTGAGAAAACAAGATCAGACTTCTTTTCGAAGCCCAAACTTTCTTGGAAGCTGCACAGCAAATGTGCCACTTGAACTACCAGATCTTCCAGCATTTTGCAGAGGATGACAGCATCAAAGGCCCCATCTTCCAGGTGACTTGCAAGTCCCACTACCTGCTGCATATTGCTCAATACATCCACTGTGTGAACCCAAAGCTTACGTGGTGTTACCCCAATGAGGATTACATGGGCATCAGCAGGAAAATTGTTCAGAACTGCACCAGGGGTGTCAACATGCACCAGGCTGGAAGCAAAGCTTTGCAGCACTGGTGTGTAGGGTTTGCTAAGCTGCTCAAGGCATGAAGCAAAATGTGGGCAGGCCATGGGTTAGGATTATTTGGAATTTGTGAGCCAGTATGCAATGGGCTAGGATTTTTTGGATTTCCTGAGAGCCAATGGGAAATGTGTTAGGATTATTTTGGCACAATGAGCAATGGGCCAATGGGCTAGGGTCAATGGGTTAGGATTGTTTTGGCCTTGCCATACACAAATATTGTTATATAATTCTTTGCATTTTTGCAATGCAAGCACTGTGAATTCAATTGCTGTGCTTTTGAAGGGTTACATTTTGGGGGACAATTTCATAGTCAATTTTGTTTTTGACTGTAAAATTGACTTAAAATAGGTTATATACAATTCTTAAAATTATCTCTTTAGACAAAAGTTGTTTTTAACTATTAGTTAAAAATTTGCCCTTAACTATGGAATTGACTATTAGACAAAAAATTGCCTAACCCGATCTATAGGGTGACTGGGTGATAGTGACTTGCTCGTTGACCCAACAGCATCGCGTTCTTTTCTCAGCACCTACACCATCCTACCTACACCATCCTACACCACTCTCCCAGTCTGCGTGACTCCGGACACTCACTCGGCAAACGCCTCAATAATGTGTCCGTTTCCTTCGGCCGTTTCCGGGGGCCTTTTTCCGAAAGAAGACTTCCATGAAAGATCTTCGGCAAGTCGGGTGAATGAGCCTCACAGGATAGAGGTCGACGCATGGAAGGAGGAGGAGGAGGAGGGGATATGTCTTCTGAACCGCTGGTCTCCAACGAATTGGTGGCCAGGAGGATGTTTCTTCATGTGAAGGATGCGAAGAGCTGCGAAGAGTGGTTGTCAACCCACCTTCGGCAAAAAGTTGAAAACCATCGCGTGAGGGAAAGGTTGAAGGTAAAAAGACCAGGAGTCACAAGTACGGGGGTGGTGCTTGGTCCCATCCAGTTGGTGGATGTTCTGCGCACCCCGACTACCTCCATGGATCACACCCCGTCGAACGTGACTGGACTTGGATTGAACAGTAAAAAGACTTGCCTGAGGGATCTGGTACCTACTCAACTGCTACACGGAGTCAAAACTCTTGACGTGGAGACGCAAGTTTTTGAGAAATCATTTGGCTGTGGGTCAAAACACATCTCCCCAAACCAGCATAGGTTGACCTCCTTAATAGTCCTTTCTGTTCATTTTTGGTGGTCAACCCAGGTAGCCCTGGGGCTCCAGTCGTACCTCCTCAGAAGGTATGACTGGACCCTCCTGGCACCCACCCCAGTCCCACCTTCGAAACGAAGGTGCGACTGGAGCCCTAGGGGTAGTAATTTGGTGACAAATGGTGTTAGTGCTCTTTGTTCGGATGCTGTTTGTTGCTACGGCCTATAGCCAAACAAATATATATATATATCTACCAGCACCTTCCGACAGGTTGCCTCTGGTTTTTCCACTTTAGGGGTAGCTAACAGTCTACCAGGGGAGACCTGTTAGACTATGTAGTTGTTAGAACTTACAAAACCAGAGGAACCTATGGGAAGGTGCTGAAAACAACATGGAAAGAAGTAACAACCCTGCACTGAAACCATTGGTGTCCCAAAGCCACCCTTCGACTCCAACCTGTGTTTCCGCAAGTGGCCTCTGCCACACTATTGCTGGTGGAAGTCTCCAAGGTCATCCCGGCTTGATTCCAGTCGGACGGTTTTGAAACAAAACGGCAATCATTCGAGCCTTGAAAATTTGAGTATAGTTGCCAATCATAACAACCAAGTAGGACATATGACCCTTTATTCCGTCAACTGGCGGAGCCAGCGGCATGCCACAAAACCTATGTAGCGCTGTAGAACAGACTGTCCCAGATTCCTGGGGTGCTGTTCACGGCATAGTCGTTTGACTTGCCCCATTGCGTCTTCGTCCTGGTAGCAGCTTGCATGCATGGGATTTATCCACCGCGCGTTGTCATACGTCAAGTGTTCCAGTCTCAGCGTGGCAAATAAAGCAGGTTGGTGCAAGTGAGAACTAAACAAGGCAAAATAAACATCCGAGTAGCTTATGGTATTTGGGGCGGATTTTCCATAAGAGCTCACCAGCTTGGATGGACTCAGCAGCTAAACCTTGAGAAGCAAACAGTAAACAGCTTTTCTCAGCACGTTGCCCTAAATCACCAATTGTTTCAAGGAACTGTTGTGTGCCGATCTGAACAGGTAGCACGCCTTTTGTAGCCGATCAAGGTTTTCAGAAGACAAACTGGTGTGTAGACCAGGGTTGTTCTTCTTCGATATGCACTGCCTCATGATCACGAGGTTGACAAACACGGCAGCTCTCAGCCTTGGATAAGGAAAGGCCAACAAATAGTACTTAACTTCTCAAAAACAATTCCACCTGGCAACTGGGCATGTAGGCAATCTGGGTTTGCCTCTGCAACTACCAGTGTGACATGTCGCAACCACTGGGCCAAGATCACACATTCCTAGGCGTCAAACACTGAAGAATTCAAATCTTCAAAGCAGCAAACTCAAAAAGGAACGTCTAAGACAAGTGGGACAAGTGGAATCTTTAGCCAAGGAACCGCTCCGTTCATGTGCTTTTGTGCGAAAGTAGGATAGCTTTTTGGCCCATTGGGGTACAGATTTTTCCTGGGTTCAACAGGGGAACACCTCCAAGGACATGCGGATCACAAAAACGATGCCCAAACATAGGTTGACCAAGTCTCACTGAGAAGAACTGCCCTCTGTTTCCTCAAACCAAACAATGAACAACAAGACCTTGATTGGTGTTTTGACGCTTCACTTCCATACAGCAAAGGTACGGATCCCAGCCAAACGACATGCTTTGCTAAAGCAAACAAATGCATTCTTCAGCTTGCTGTCAGCATTGCCACTTCCAAAAATTGTCGATTCAGGTGAAGTCATTTCAATCCTCGGTATAACTCAGACAGCGCATACCACAACATGCCTGCATGCACATACACACACACCGAAGCCAGAACAACAACCAAGAATCAAGGCCGAAGCTGCACACTCTGGAACTATGCACAAGTCAACAATATGGAGCCAATCATACTGAATGTTCATAATGTGGAACCCTGGAATCAGTGTCCAGGTATGTACCCGACAAACCTCCGCCACAAAAGATTCGGAAGATGTTTGTGCAGACCGGTGCAAGGCTGAAGGTCCAAACGGTGTGTATAAAAGAGGAGAGTCGGCTGCCGTGGTTGCGCCACAGTGTAGACATGGGTTGGCTGACACCCAACTTCTGTTTGTAAAAAACGTTCGCTGAATCCACTTCTCATCGCCTTTAATCACAGCAGGAACACACCGCCATCCATCCGCAATTTGCCCAGACCTTTGCTTGTCAAATGCTTTCCGAACAGGAAAAGGTTCTCCCCAGGGGTCCAGCTCTGAGAACACTCCATTTTGGAGCTCCGCCAATGAGAGCGCTATCCACTTCTCAAGGGTCCAGCCCGTTTGAGGAGTTGCCTGAGAGTTGTCAAGGGCGAAGCATAAGACCTTGACATCGAATAGATTCCCAGAGGTGGTCAAACTGCTCATCGTCAGCACACTGAACGTCCTCCTTCTGTGACTGTCTGCCTCGTCCCCGTGAATGGCCACCGGAATAACTCTGCTTTTGTCAATGGTCTTGGTTGCCAACTCCGAGGTAAGCACTCCCATGCACACAGGGGTCATGCAAGCCACAAACATTGTTCATATAAGATTATCTAAGGCACAGGATCTGACAAGATCGGATGTCTTTGGTACCACTCTGTTTGGGAGTGGTTCCTCCAGAACTCTTCAATTGCCTAATGTGAAAAAACATATGATTGGAGCAGAGCGACATCACATCAGGCATATGACAGCCTTCCAAGACACTCCTTTGGGTCCCACAAACTTGGCCCGAAAAAGGTTCTCGTCATAAGAATGCATGGCGCAGATTCTCAGATGCTCAGCAAATAACCCAAACACATAAAATATGTCACTGTCACACCCTCCTCCAGCCAAGAGTCACATCACTTGGAAGCAAGAGGTGCCAGGATCCAAGATAAACAGGTGGCACTCGGCTCTCATCTTTGAGAAGAACATCCACCCTTAGAATTAGAATCAAAGTTTCCCCACTAAGTTGCTTTTGTCACATTTGTAACAAACCAGATGCAAGTAAAGGCACTCCCTGATAGGTGGGAACATGCGACGCCATGGTTGGCGTTCCAACCAGCGCCAAAATGTCCTGGGATAATTTCTTTGGTCATCACTATCCAGGTTGTCCACAAGGTCCCGAAGGTTTTTCCTTACCAGCACCAAGACACATGGAGCAGTTCACATGTTCAAAACTTTGTTAGCACCAAGGATCGGTAAATGACGCCCTGGAACTCGTTTGCGGAGGATGACAAACAGGGCCACAATAGTTGACACACTTACCTAAGTTGCACACATAATAGTATAAGAGCGTTCTTTGGGACCAGGTTGGAAGAGTGCTTACTGGAATGCAAATCAAATCTTAGATACTGTCCGTGTGAGTTCAAGAAACTCCTCCACAAGATCCATGAGCCACGGATCAAGGCTACAAAACCCTGATGATGGATTTGTTCCATCTCCAGTGCAGCCTCCTTCAAACCACAGCTTGGCAAGAGTGATTGATCATTTGAATAACAGCAGTCGTGTATGGTGTGCAAGCTGCAAAGGACACATTGGCTGTCTTGCAAGTGAAGCTGTGCGTAAACTTTTTTCCCCTGCCCAAACCTTTGTAGTTTAGGGTTCCCCTGCCCAAACATGTGCTGTTTAGGATTATTTCATTTGATTTGCCCGTGGTGAGTACTGCCCATAGACAGCAACATCCACGGGCCAGGCACAAAAGCTACCGAGACAAAAAACTAAAGAGTCTCGGCTGGGAAAGGGCCAGGTTTGCCGCCTTGAAATGAACAAGCCTTGTCATGAATGCGTTTCTGACGGAGACCCCCTCCGCAACTAGCCCTATCAAATCCAATCGGTCAACAAAGTTGGGATCCAAGGTCTAAGGTGGCCACACGTCTCCCTCCATTATGAAACATGGTGTAGGAAAAGAACAGGTTCCAATCATCCACTCAAAACAGAGTTCAACACATTCTATTTAGTGACTTTGAGAGTTTTGTTTTGGGAACACCACCCATGGATCACCATGAAAACAAACCACTCAATCAATCTGAGCCTTCAGACTCAGATGACTGTTGCTGATCTACATCTTTATTTTTTGATTTCTTCGGTTTTACCGAGCTGATGCGACGCTTTGCATCACGGATGTCAATATCAGCATTCCGCAAAGCCTCCTTGGTTGCGTTCACAAAGTCACTCACCTCACCCGGGTCCAGTGAAGACATTGGAATTTCGAGCTTGTCCATCACCAATCGCATGTGATGCTCCAAGCGGGGTTCATGATCCTCCAGGCACCTGACCTAGGTGCAGGGTAAAGTTCAAAGGGTCCAGTTCACACACACAAACCTGCAGTGATAAAATATGTACATTGTATTGCAATATATCCTTCCAATAAGACAGGGAACCAACTCACCACAATTCCGGACTCCATAGTCTCCAAGATCAGAGATGCACTGTGGGCGCGCATTCAGCAAACCCTTCACCCTTGGTTTGGTATCAGCTCCAATCCCAGGAGAACAAACAATTGCATTCTCGACAGAACTCTGATCCATCAAACAATTTACAATATCAGGTTAGTGTCTTTTTCTCCAGAT